CCAGTCCCCCGCCCTGGGCTTCGTGTGGCTGGGAAGCCCGATGTCTCTGTTTCAGCAGTGGGATCAGAACCAGCTTTCAGAACAACATAAGCCAGGGGTAATTTTTAGCACAGACGTAACTTTCTAGTTCCTTTTCCCTACCCCTCATTTTTCAGTTGCCTTTAAAGAGGCCGCAGAGAGCTGGAAAACAAATCCAAGTTTAAAGAGACAAGTGCAAAAATGCAAACCAGGCAAGGGGACAGAGCCACCAGCCGGACAAAATGTGCCTGGAGAATAGCGTCCTCCGCTTGGCAGGTGCTGGGAATTTATGGTTGAGTTTTGTAGACGTTTCACCACGTTATGAGCCAGCTCAAGAGACCCTCATAAAACTCTGCTTATAGGAAAGAACAAACTAGCTGATAAAAGTCAGCTGCTGCCTATAAACGCGCTGTGGGGATTGCAATTGAGTGGTGGATTTATTAGTCTGGGCTTTTTGTGCAAATTAAGAACTAGTGCGCACGTCTGAATCAGGGAGGGAAGAGCCCGAGCAAGCAAGCACCCGGGTTGCTCCCTGCTCACATGATGGCAAGTGGCCCATGCTCACCCTCCCCTTGTTCCTTTCTCCAGTAGAGACCAGAGGGAAGATTCTCCCTGAAATTTAGTTGCTGGGGATCTATTCTTACATCCCCCTTCCTTGCCTCCCACAAAAAGCCACAAAAAGAATCCGTCACCCTCCATCCACTGCCTTCCCCACATGTCTTTTTATGACAGCAGTTCTGACCTGGGCTTTCGTGTCTGTCTGGGCCAGCTAGACTGGGTACTTCTCTTATTTATCTTTGGATCCCCAGTAATCGGTTCTGTGCGGGGCATGCAGGTAGGCCTCTGAACGAATGAATATGGATGTGGCAGATCGTAAGGTGCCCTATACAGAAGTGACTACGACCCCTCTCCAAATGGTCCGAAGGGGTTAGGGGAAGAGAACTGAGGTGCCGGTCGGGGTTGAAGACTGAGCAAGTGATGTGAAACACCGAGGGAAGAAGAGATGCAATCAGGAAGTGATTAAGGCTAGGTTCTTCCCCAGAAAAGCGCGATCTTTGTGACTCCTCTACCCAGCTCCCTCTCTGCTGCTTTTTCTTAGGATTAAGGCTCTTTCTGAAAGAATGGCCCTGCAACAGAATGAGGGTCCTTAATAAGAACACAGGTATCCAGCCCTTCCTCGCACGTGCCAGGTCGGAATCTCTAGGCCTGAGGCCCTCAAATGCTGTACCAGGTACCAGTCTCAGAAAACAATGGCTTTCCTTTGCACTCTGTAGAAACTGAGGAGTGTTCTAGGAATGGTGGGGAGGGAGAGTGCCTGGAAGGAGCACCCCTGTCATTCCTTGAGAAGGACCGGCTATCTCCTCCCAGCCCAGGAATTAGGGGCAAAAGTGTGAGACTCTGGCAGACAGCCTTAGGACTCCCTCCAGCCCTCGCAGCAATGGGACCCGAGGGGAGGCTGGCTGGCAAGGTTGCAGCTGCCCCGAGAGAGCCCTGCGTGTGCCACTGCCCAGCCAGGTGGGAGCCGCGTTGCACTCGCCTTGTTTGGAGGAACCCTGTCCCGTGCAGGACTGGGTCTTCAGGAAACCCAACTCTTGTCACAGCTGAGTGGGCGTCAGGGATGCCGAGAGGAAATCCGTGAAAGGGAGACTCCTTCCACCAGAAGCAAGAAAACCCTGGTGCAACCAGGGTTGTCACTAATGAGCTGTGGGCACTTAGGAAACCCACTGTCTCTCAAAGCACGCTTGCTGCACCGCTTGCTAAGTGTCAAAGATGCTCAAGAGCACTGCACAGCTGCCCACTTAGGTGACTAATAAGCCTGGAGTAAATGTCAACCCCTTCCATGTTTCTAAATTTACCAAAACCCTTCACACAGCTCTTCTCACTTAAACCTTACAATCCTGTAAGGGATAGATCATCAACTCCATCAATACAGAACAAGAAATTGAAACTGAAAGGGAAGATGGCTTACCCAAGGTCACTTAGCTGGTAAGAGGCTGAGCTGAGACTGAACCCAAGTCTGGGTCACTTGCAATTCAGCAAGCTTTCCTGAGTTGATTATGCACGAGTTCCTTCCCCTCCTCCCTGAACCTCCTCCTCCAAATGTGCACCCTCCCATGCAAATGTGCGGAGAGGAGGCATTGTAAACAACTGAACACTTGAACAGTTGGAGATGGTACCTGGCCCCCATCATCCAGGTTAAAGTCAGACATAATACAGTCACCGCACAATCTGGACTCTCCTTGGGCAGGCAGAATTCCTCCTCTTCAGAGCCTAGGATCCCACTGGCTTTGAAAAAACCACTACTCTGTCAAGAGAATTTTGAGGTCAATTTCTAAATGTGGATCTGGTAGAGCCAGGAAGGAAAGAAACCTAAATTCTTCATTTCATCCCAACAGATTGTCTCAACGGCACGGAAGGGGTTCTGACCACCAAGAATCTATTTCCCTGAGGGAAAGAGAAAACAGCTCACATCTAATATCTCAACCCATAATATCTCAACCCATAAGCTATGGCATGAAGAAGAAGCATGGTGGGGGGCGCCTGCGTGGCTCAGTTGGTTGAGCGTCCGACCCTTGATTTTGGCTCAGGTCATGAACTCAGGGTTGTGAGATCGAGCCCCACATCAGGCTCCATGCTCAGCAGGGAGTCAGTGTGACATTCTATCTTTCTCCTTCTCCCTCTCCCCCGACTCACTGCTCTCTAATAAAATCTTTAACAAAAAAGGAGCACTAGAAGTATTCCCACTATGATTATTCTCCTTTATAAATATGAGTCCAGTAAAAATACCAACAGTTATTTCTTCATTGGGTGACTGGGTGGGGTATGATTAGCTAACTGAAAAATTCCAGGGAAAACAGGCATAACGAACGGGGGTGGGAGTACAGGCAGGCTGCAGAAAGCTGTAAGACACTAAGGCTTTGGAAACCTAATGTCCATCAGTAAGGGGCCAGTTAAATAAACTATGGTATACCCAAACAACAGAAAAATATGCAACCGTTTTAGAAAAAATTAAGGAAGCTCCTTATGTATTCACATAGAATGATCTCTAAGATACAGTAATTGGGAAAAAAAAAGGTGCAAAGCTGAGTCTGTAGCATGCTACAATTCATACAAAATTAAGGAGAAAACCCCAAAACCCATTTGTTTGTTGTATTAGTTATCTATTGCTGTAGGACAAATTACCCCAAAACTTAATGATTTAAAAAAAACATTTATTATGTTTCCATGGGTCAGGACTCGGCACACAGCTTAGCTGGTTGCCTTTGTCTTAGGTCCTCATGAAGTTGTAGTTGAGCTGTTAGCTGGGGCTGTGGTCTCAACTGAAGGCTCAACTGGGGGGGGGGGGGTTAGGGATCTGCTTCCAAGCTCAGTCATGTGGTTGCTGACTGGCTTTGGTCTCTCACATGAGCACTCCACGGGGCTGCCTTGGAGCACTACAGCTGACCTCTTTGAGGGTGAGGGATCCAAGAGTAAGCAATGGACTCAAGTTGGAAGCTGCAGTCTTTTTTTTTTATCAGTTAGTTTCAGAAGCAGCACCCCACTACTTCTGCAGTATTCTGTTCATAGAAGCAAATCTGTAAGCCCAGCCCACACTGAAGGAGAGGAGTACACAAGGACATGAATACCAGAGGTGGGACACTTGGGGGCTATCTTAGAGGCTACCAACCACTGTGCGGATATGGGTAAAGACTATTTTTGGAAGAATACATCAGAAACATTTTACACTGGTTGCCTCCAGGGAAGGGAAGTGAGTAACTGGGAGAGGAGAACTTTTCACTGAATGTGCTCTTGTACCCTTTGAATTTTGCACAATGTGAATGTGTCACTTATTCAAAAGATAAATTTATTTTAAATTTAAAAAGGACAATTAAAAAGATAGCATTTTAATAGTAAAAAAATAAGGAACAAAATAAAAAGTGATACTTAAGTAATACATAGTTATTATGAAGCACTGTAAAATCCTTGTATCTATTTATGGTCAGGATTTAAAGAGCTCTGTACCACCCACCCACACATACACAACTCCCACTTGCAGAACAAAATACATACTCTCAGGCCAGGCATTCAGGGCTCTTCACAATTGGACTCCAGTCCACCCTAGGGAGCCATTCCTCCATCCCTCTATGAACCCTACTGAGTTGGTCAGTGGAACTATTAATATTTGCCAGTTCTAGGAGATAAAAGCAACAAGCACAATGCCTGGTACACAGCAAACTTTTGATCAGTGCTGGATTCCAATCTTTCTCAAACACTGCTTTTGCTTATTAGACTATCCCCTGGGCATGGAACACCCTGTGCTCCTCTCCATCCCCAAGTCCTAATTCAGATGTCACTGTCACTATGAAGTATTCCGACAAGCAGTTAGTTACCACCTCTCTTCTGTTTGTGTTTTTTTTAAGATTTTATTTATTTATTTGTTAGAGAGAGCGAGCACAAGCAGGGGGAGCAGCAGAGGGAGAGGGAGAAGGATCCCCCCGAGCAAGGAGCCGGATGTGGGACTCAATCCCAGGACCCCGGGATCATGACCTGAGCCGAAGGCAGTTGCTTAACCAACTGAGCCACCCAGGTGTCCCCTCTCTTCCGTTTAATGTCAAATATAACACTTTTATTTTTTTTTACCTCCCCATAACTTATAACTGGAGGTTTGTACCCTTTACTCCCTTTCACCTATTTTGTCCATCCTCCAACCCCACAAAACACTTTTATTATTGTTTTACAATTTAAGTCTCTTCAACTCAGTCTGGTCCCTGGATCATCAGCATCAACAGTACCTGAGACCTTGTGAGAAATGTAGACTCTAGGGCACTGCCACCCTAGGCCTACAGAATCAGAATCTGAATTTTAACAAGAGCTCAGTGATTTCTATACACATTAAAACTTAAGAGACACTGGTTTAAATCTTTCCCTGGTTGAACTATAAACCTTTATAGGGATCTCCTTCATCTGCCCCAGAGCACATCATAAGGCCTGATACCCAAATGTTTGTAAGTTTTATTTATAATTATTATGTATGTGATACATTTTTTAAGTTCCTGGAAGAAAAGCTACCATATTGTTAAAAACAGCAGACCACGTGCATTTTTACTTTCTGTAATACTTCGGTTTTTCACCATCACAATGTATGATCTTCATAGGTAGAAACACATGAAGGTCTGGAAAGATAAAAGCTCTAATACATTCATAAAATGGTATATATGTGTAATGGTATCTACTGTAATTATGTTGAGCTATTTTTACAGATATGAAAAGATGGCCAAACTATGTTTTGTTTTGTTTTGTTTTTTAAAAAGACTATTTAATAACAGTATATATCATTGATACTATATTTGGGGATTTTTTTTTATTTGTGAATATGGACACTGAAAGGGTATATATCAGAATATCTCTGATGGAGCTTGTTTCATACTTTTCTACACTTATATTTTTTTCTACAGTTTTCCTATGACTTTTTAAAAAGTATATATATCACTTTTGTAGTAAGAAAAAAGTCATCTTCATTTTAAAAATACCTATACTCTTTATTAAGCCTCTTTACATCCAGTGACCCAGATTTTTCTACAGCCCCCGAAGCTGACAGGTCTGGAAGTGGCCGACCATTTCACAGATGAAGGCACTGGGCTTCAGAAACGTAACCCTGATGGCCTGATTCTGGGCGGTCTTCTCCCACCATGCAGCTACTCCAAGATCAGAGGAATGTGGCAAATCAGGTGCCAGCTTTGGTCAAAACCCCTGTCATTTTAACAGTCCCGCTATCCCCAGCCACTTACTCTCAGACGGGGCGGGAGAACAACTCCTCAAAGACAAAGCTCTGAGCCTAACTCATGCTGCACCACCTCCCCCTGGTGGTAGGCTCCGGAAACCGTCATGGTGGCTTGGAGCTACAGCAGTCGGAAAACAGTGACACACCGCCCTGACTTCAGATGGTTTGACTGGGGATTTTTCAACTCTTCCGACGCTGCAAAAGGCAATACGTGTCCACCAGAAACCGTACTTCACAAACTTGGGTCTCTTCCCAGGCTGGCGACACGCGGCCCCCTCCTCTCTCGTGATGCTGGGCAGCCGCGCACACACCACAGCTCAGTCCGCCCCCAGACCACGAGGGTGAACGACTGACACGGCCATTCGGCGCCCATATGGCTGTTCTGTTTTTCAATCAATTACAGAGAGAGTCAACATTTCTTTGTAAAACAGGCCTTGTGTTAGATGATTATGCCCAACTGTAGGCTAATGTGAGTGCTTGGGGGCACATTTAAGGTAGGCTAGACTAACGTTTGGTAGGTTAGGTGTATTAAATGCATTTTTGACTTAGAATATTTTCAATTTACGATGGGATTATCAGGATGTAACCCCACTCTAAGTCGAGGAAGAGCTGTACTGTCTTCCATCAATTATCACCTTTATTTCTTTAAATCATCAAGAATCATCATCTTCCATCAAAGAATCAGGTACTGACACAAATACACAGAACAGGGCCGGGTGTCAACCAAGCTCAGAGCTCTGGGTGATGCCAAGGGTGTGCCACACCCCCTCCCCGGCCCTCTCCTTCCCTACCACTTCGTGGCAGTAGCCCCTACCCCAGTGTTCTCCTGCATTGCCTTTCCTGCATTCTCTCCGCCTCCTCCACTCTGGAGCCTAGGAAAGGGCAATGTGCCCTCAGCCGTGATGTCGCAGGGAGAGGCCCCAGCATCAGAAGCCAGTCCTCAGGCTCTAGGCACTGATTTTTCAAGTATGTCAGGTTACCATACCAGAAAGCACCAACATCAGTCTTCAACTGTGTCCCCCTAGTTTGCTGGTAAACACACGGCTTCTTTACTCCTCCAGGAAGAAGGAAACATTCAACAGGGTATCTGGAATAGGAAGAGAGAAAAACTGACATATCACCTCTCCAGAGAACACAAAACATCGGATTTATAAAAAATACAGGGGCACTGCAAGGGCATCTCTGTAATGCTTCCAAACAAGTGAGACATACAAAGAGACCGCAGACATGAAGGAATAAATGAAAACCAGTACCTTGCACAAGGCTTTGGTGTTCATCTTCTGAAATTTGGTCCCAGGCCTTGGGCAAAGCTTGGATGTTTGCTAAATCTCCCCACTGGATCGAGGACAGGAGGTACTTTCTCTTCAGATAACTTCCTGGAAGTTAAGGACTGCTCAAAAAGCAAATGAGGGTGCCTGGGTGGCTCAGTTAAGTGTCTGCCTTTGGCTCGGGTCATGACCCCAGGGTCCTGGGATTAAGCCCCGCATCGGGCCCCCTGCTCAGTCGGGAGTCTGCCTCTCCCTCTACCCTTCCCCCCCTGCTCGTGATCTCGCTCTCAAATAAATAAATAAAATCTTAAAAAAAAAAAAAGCAAATGAAATATGCTGAAAGGGGAAAATGCCCTGGGGAGAGCTGCGGGAAGCAGAGTGAAAGGGGGGCTATCATTCCATTCACCAGGTGGCAGCACTCAACCATGCCACCCATCTTTACCGAGCACCTCTTCACTCACAGTCCTACAGGGCTGGAGGGATGAAACATCACCCCAACAACCTAGGATCTCACCGTGGTGGGGAAAAAACCAGCAAATGAAAACAAAGAGTCTCAGTGATATCAAAGAGGACACTGCGGCGCAGTTCAGAGGACACCTCCCTCCCACTTACAGGGCAGCAGGGAGATTCCGGCTGGCAGGAAGAGCATAAGCAAAGGCACAGAAGTGGGGAAGCATGGATTGGTTTCAGGGCCAAGTAAATCCCCCAATCTGGCCGGCAAGGAACAATGTGTGGAGCAGTAGGAAAGGTGGCTGAGAGGCAGGCTGAACCAGAACACAAAAAGGCATGTAATCAGTGCTCAGTACTGTTGGCTGCAGCTCTGTGAAAAACACAGGCTGATTATCTTACTCCTCTTCTCAAAACCTCTGAATAGCTTTCCATCTCACTCAGAGCAAAAGTCAAAATCCTTTCAAAAACCTCCAAGGCCCTAAAGGTCCGGCCTTATCTCCCTGACCACGCCTCCTATTTGGCTCCCCCTCCTCACTCTAGTCTAGCCCCACTGGCATCCACACTATTTTGGGAACATATTAGGCATGACCTTACCTCGGGGCCTTTGCACATGATGTTTCTTCTACCTGGCACACGCTTCCCCCAAATATCACCTGGTTCTCTCCCTCGCCTCTAGGTCTTTTCTTAAATGTCACTATCTGTGAGGCCTCTCCTGACCACCCTATTTAAAATCACAACTCCACCCTCCCCTCACTTGCCCTGTTTTATTTTTCTCTAAGTTCAGAGACCAAGAACTGACCCATACTACATAGTCGTATAATCTCGTGAAAACTGAAATTAAAAAGACTTCCTGAAGCAGCTCTGGACACTGAAACGTGTGCAAAGGATACGAATTTCGATAATGTCTCTCAATATCCTGCAACCATTCCAACATGTCAGCCACAGAAGGGCTGACCACTGAAGCCTGCAGAAGAGCATCAATGCCAATCGAGTCTGCATGCTGCTCATAGATCTCAAGCACCTGCTCCACGTGCCTGCTGACGGTGTCACGCACCTTGAGGAGGGTGGCTCTGGGGGAAAAAAGTCTCCTATTAGACAACACCATGAGAAGGCCTGAGGCAGGGTTCCTCAACCTCAGCACACTCACATTTCGACCTGGATGGTTCTTTGTGGTGAGGGGTTGCCCTGTGCATTTTAGGGTGCTGAGCAGCATCCTTGGCTGCTACCCCCTAGATGACAGGAGCAAACCATGCCCCATCCTCCCCAAGTTGTGATGATCAATGTCTCCAGATACTGCCAAATGTCCAAATGGGAAAAATTGCTCTGGGCGCACATAGACTACTGCGGATCTTAGGAAAGTTACTTATCCTCAATCGTGTATAAAAATGGTCTGTTTTGCTCACTGCACACCCTAAGTACCTAGAACACTGAGACTGGCACATAGAACGACAAACACCTGTCCAATGAATGAATGAGTGAAAGGGTTCTTGTGAAGATTACATGCAATAGTGCTTATAAGGTGCTTAGGGAAGTGCCTAGCTCACGGTCAGTATTGTTATCATTGCACTGGTGACTCCAAGGGACCCAGCCACCGAGAACGCCACAACTTCCCAGAGGGCAAAGCATTCCTTAACCTAGAATTGTGGCTTTCAAAATGTGTGGCCACAATTTAAAAAACAGACTTAAAATAACAGCCCGATACTCACACACAAAAATCTGTCATCAACTAAAATAAAAGTTCACTACCTCAGAACATACCACAACATAATTTGACAGTCTCTCTTCTAATCAACTAAGAAACTAAGTCCGGTTCATTGTTATATTCCCAGCACCTTGCGCTTGGCATCCCATAGGTGCTTAGTTATTTTGTACAAATGACTACACAGAAGGTCCCCATATTTGACCATTTCCCATTAGTCTACGGCACAGACTGTATACACCAGAAACTTTTGTCCTAGTCAAGAAAAGGCCTATGTGCGGGGCGCCTGGGTGGCTCAGTTGGTTAAGCATCCGACCTGTGATTTTGGCTCAGGTCATGATCTCATGCGTCATGAGATGGAGCCCCATATGGGGCTCTGTGCTCAGTGCGGAGTCTGCTTGAGATTCTCTCTCCCTCTCCCTCTGCCCCTTCTCCCACTTGTGCTCTTTCTGTAAAATAAATAAATCTTAAAAAGAAGGAAGGAAAGAAAGAGGAAGGAAGGAAAGGCCTATGTGCCAGGTCTCTTGTCTATCCTCAATACTTACAACTGTAAGACAGAGGGTCTCACGTCAGGCACACTAAGAGTTTAGAGATGTACCATTCCTGGCACAGAGACACCAATGTACAGCAGAACAGAGTGGTGGTTGAACACTCTGGCCTTGGTGTCAGGCAAACTTGAGTTAGACTCCCAGCTTTACCATTTACTAGCTGTGCGACCACAAGCAATCTGAGCCTGTTTCCTCACCAGCAAAATGGGATTAAGTGTGGTTAAGTCAGAGATGTTGAAAAGATTTTATATGAGAATATATGTAAAACCCTTAGCTCTAGCACCTACTAAGTTTAAAGTACAATTCCTCACTGCTTTTGACAAAAGAAGACAATAGAGAAGGGCTTATTAAGCTTTCTTGATTGCTTTTCTTTTCCACTTTTGTAACTTCTACTGAGACCACCACTGCCGTGCCCTACGTGACAAGGGAAATGCCACAAAGTGACTTTTTAAAAAAAGACTGATTTATTTATTTGGAAGAGGGAGAGTCTCAAGCAGACTCTGCACTGAGTGCAGAGCCCAACATGGGGCTTGATCTCACGACCTGAGATCACGACCTGGGCCAAAACCAAGAGCCGGAAGCCCAACTGACTGCACCACCCAGGCACCCCATAAAATGACTCTTTGACAAGAGGTCCCATTGCAACAAGTGGAAAGGAGGCAAGGTTGAGACACCTCCAAATACCATGTTCTCAAGTAAAGGGAAAAACACTCTTCTGACTGATCCTAGCTACTTATTAAACACCAAGTTTTTCGATCTTTCCGCCAAGAAGGAATGGCATCGAACTCTTACAGCCTCTCCCCTAACTTGTCCAAGACAGTGTCGCCAGCCGCCAGCTGCTTGCGCCTCAGCCGCTCCTTTAAGTCTGGGAAGGCCCGAAGTGGAGGCACGTCCTCAAACCGCAGATTGTGGGCCGCCCGCAGCTGCTCTGCCAGGTTGCTGAGGGAGGCCAGGAGGGGCTGGCTGTCCCTCAGCGTGCTCTGCCACAGGCCCTGCTGCTCCTCCACCACGGGAAAGCACTTCCTCAGGGCCTCGTGCACAGCAAGCAAAGGCTGGTCTTGAGTCATCTTCTGCCGAGATAAACAAAAAACCGTATTAGGGTCTCAAGTCGGAAGGGGAAGTAGCGGGTCCAGTGATTTCCGTGCGCAAGTGAGGTCCCGCTAAACCAGGGTCTCCTCACGAAGGACTGTGTATCCCTTCCGACAGGACGTCCTGCCGCGAGGCGTTGTCTTACCTTTAGAGGGGCTCTGGAGGCAGGACCTTGGTTTTCCACCTCCGGGAGGGTTTCCCGACCAGCCCTCGGAGGAGGTTCGCCCGCGGCTCGGGTAGTCTCCAGTTTCAGACTGCGGATTCCCCGGGCCGAAGCGCTGTCTCCGAACCCGTACTTCCAGAGCCAGAATCTTGTCTCCTTTCCCGGAAACTGCCGGTCGCTTTCCTTAAACCAGCGGGAAAACTTCAAGCTAATCCCATCAAAGTTTGAGGACCCGCCAAGGCCACCACCAAGCGCCCGCTGTCTCTCTGCGCATGCCCCAGCGCAGCTACTGAGTCGCGAACGTATGTCGTAGACCGCAGTGCCTTCTGGGTGCGGTAGTCCTACGTGTGCACGGGCGGCCGGGCCGCGGAGCTTCCTTGTGATTGGATGCTGTGGGGCCCTCCTAAGACGGCGACTTCTCATTCGTCAGCCTGTGGCAGTTTGAATTTGGTGGCGGCCGTCGCACGTCCGGTTAGGCACGGAGCTGCTCCCTCCCCTCAGCTGGAGCGGCGAGGATTCTCTCAACCCGTTTCGTGACGCGCAGGTACGTGCCTTGCGACTCCTTTATGCTCGGGTCTCCAAGGGCAGGCCCCCCCCATTAGCCCCGTGGGGCGCCGTCCCCCCTCTCCCGCTCCTCCGCGGCCCCTTACTCTCCCTCCCCGACCTCGGCCGCTGACCCCCCAGTGGCTGCATCCCCCGCTCCCCTCAGCCTCCACCCAAGCGCCATGGCTCCGGCTAGGAAGGGCGGCAGTCGGGTGGCCAAGACCAACTCGGTTCGGAGCCGGAAGCTGGCTTCCTTTCTTCGGGACTTCGACCGTGAAGGTAGGGGGCGGAGCCCGGGGCGATCGCGGGGTGCCGGCGGGTTGGGGTGCGGGCAGCACGGGTTCCAGGCCCGGTCCACCCGCCGGTGACCCGTGTTCTGTCGGCTTGGCCCTCTCGCAGTGCAAATACGATCCAAGCAAATTCAGTCGGACAGGCAGAACCTCCTCAAGGAGATGGATAATCTGTACAACATCGAGATCTTGCGGCTCCCCAAGGCGCTGCGCGAGATGAACTGGCTCGACTACTTTGGTAAGAGCTGCTCCCGTTTCCCCAGGCCTCGGCCCAGGGCGCCTCTGTGGTCACCTGAGTGAGGTCTTCAGGATCACTTTAGGAAATTGCAGCCTTACCGCTTCCCCCGCTCCTGATCTCACTTCCTTGCTTTACCTTTCTGCATAGTTCTTAACGTCATATACCCCTACAGGTAGGCGAACGTCTTCTGTAAAGGAGCAGATAGTAAATACTTTAGGCTTTCTGGGCTAGACGGTTCTCTATTGCAGCTACTCAACTCAAGCTGTTATATGTCCAGAACAGCTGTAATGAATGAGCAGGTGTGTGTCCCAGTAAAATGTATTCATGGACACACTGAAAAGTGAATTTTGTGTGAATTTCATGTGTCACAAAACACTCTCTCTTTTTTAAATATTTTTATCCAATCATTTAAAAACAAATAAATGAATAACTTGGTTTGCTACCAGAGCTCAGATGGGAGGATAACCCCCAAGCAGTGCTTTCTGCATCTTATGGAAACTGTCAACTTAAAAAATGAGCAAATCAAATTGTGAAGTGCAAGTACTTGATTCTTTCTGGATAGAGAAAAATTGCAGCCTGTTCTCCACTCCCTTGTTAAATGTCCAAGGACGTGCAACAGGCTTTCATTTCTGCTGGGTTACCCTTACTTTGCCTATTTGCCTTGTTACACGTTACATAGGCTCCTTCCTGAATAGAAATGCGCGTTCTATTCAAATAGATATTTAATGATTCTTTGACTTGCCCTTTTATTTGCATGTTTCTACAAATATTCATTGAGCATGTCTCAGTCACAATGCTAGGGGCTGAAAATGCTTTGGGAAATAACACTGATGTTGCCTACCCTCAGGAGCTTACGAGTTAGTAGAGGAGGATCCTTTTAAAAGTGCACACGTGATTATATAGTCAAAATTGTAAGTACCAGAAAAAGGAAAGAGTAGTGGTCAGTAGGTACATTTATATTGTGCTTCCTGTGCCAGACAGGGATTCTACCGAGTGTATTGCATATGTTAACTAATTGTATGTTCATAACAAAGGTATTCATTGTTAATAGTGTTCCTCTTTTGTAGATGACAAAATTAAGGCACAGAGAGGCTGGTTACTTTGCTCAAGGTCTCATAAGCTAGTTAGTAGCAGAGTGTATTTAAACCAGGCATTCTGGTTCAAAGTGTGAATTCTTAACAGTTCTACAGGCCACTCTGAGAGTTTCTGAAGGAGGCTTAACCGAACTTTATTCTACATCTACAACTTGCACAGACCTCTTCATTCAACACACATTGGCTACATACCTACCCCATGCCATATTTTTGCCCGAAACTGTCTTCAAGGAATTCAGTTCAAGGCAGGGTAGACACTTAAACAGCTCTGAGTAGTTGTTGGGTATGATGAGAGTGAGCAACTAGCTCAGCACTTCGCCGCAATCTGTTGTGATAGAAAAATAAAGACTTTTGGATTTGAACGGAGTTTTGAAAGATGAATTAGAAATTTGTCGGGTGCAGAGGAGCATTTCCGGTAGAGGAAATAATAAGTGCCAAGGCACGGAGTCATGAGGGATGGCGGCACATTTGGGAAATAAGGACTTGGGTGTGGTGGGACCTAGAATATGTGATAAGGCGGCCAGCCAGACGTGGAGAAAAATTAAACGAGGTTGTAAAGGTCCTTGAATGTTGAAGCCAGGGCTTAATCTGGTCCAGTTCTAGACAGATAATGGGTTATATCAGGGAACATCGTTCATCATTAAGATCTGAGAGTAACTAAATAAAATGTTCTTTTTAAAGCCCTTGGAGGAAACAAACAGGCGCTGGAAGAGGCAGCAACAGTAAGTGATCTGTCCTAATTTGGAACTATGGTTAGTTTTTAAGTTTAATCCTGTCACAGAACAACCAGAGGGTGCTTACTATGGAAGCGGTTTCGCAGGGGACATATCCTGTTTGTGTCAACTGAAAATCTATGGTTGTCAAATGCTGAGTCCGTGAAGCCCAAATACTGTCAAGTTCTACAGAGGGAGGCAGTTCTGTTATTGGCAGGTTCCTTGTAGCTCTCTGCCCTGACCTCTCAGGCAAAGCAGAAGCCTCAAGCCCAAGTCCCTCTAAGCCCCTGGGTCATTACCTAATGGCCTGACCTGCTAGGTGTCAGAGACCCCAAAAATCTCCATCCTTCTATGCATTATTAGACTCTCTTGGAATCTCAGGGTTTGAAGGGACCTGACTACCAAGGATTCATAGTAGCATGGAAGAGCAGATCTCCACTGGCCTCAGAAGTTAAAGGTGTAGAGCCAGTTGTTCAATCAAGAAAAAGAGAATTTGGGGGTGAATAATGTAGGAGAGGAGTGGGGATCACTGAAAAATAAAATCAAGAGCTAATAAAACATTCTTAGTTCTGGCTTTCTCTTTCTTTGTAATACGTTCCTGCCTCCACACATCCAGATCTAATGTTTCAGAAGACTTACCTCTGAGGTTAATTATAATCATTAGCTAATGCATCACCCTCTTTTTAATTAATCAGACATATAGAACTACAAATCAGAGAGCTTCTAATGTAATATGAAATAGCCAGTGTCATCACACCAAGCTGAGAGAATTGTAGCCTTAGCTGATATGATTTAGAACTCAGGAAAGGATTGATACTTTGGCACAAAAGTTCATAAAGATTAGGTATGTGGCGGTCTCCCAAGACCACTTCTAGGAAGACTCAACAGGGCTCAGCATATAGTCATACTCATGGCTATGATTTATTACAGTGAAAGGATACAAAACAAAATCAACAAAGGGAAAAGGTGCCTGGGCACCTGGGTTCAGAGGAAACCAGGCGCAAGCTCCCAAGAGTCCTCTCCCAGTGGAGTCACATGGGACACCTTACTTCAACACATGTGAAATGTTGTCTATCAGGAAAGCTTATTAGAGACTCAATGCCCAGGATTTTTATTGGGGGCTGATCACATAGGCATCTTCTGCCTAGCATGTACCAAAATTCCAGACTTCCAGGAGGAAAGCAGGTATGCAGCAGAAGCCATGTTGTTTGTACAAAGCTTAGGCCCAGAGAGCCATTCTAACCAGGGAATGGTGGGAACCCTAAAATCCAAGTTCTCATGCAAGCCACCGGCCCATCCATGCAAACAGGCCCTTCTATGGATATCCATCTTAGGCCTGTTAACTCTTCTGCACGAAGGTGATCAGTGGCCTGCCACCACCGATACCTTCATAACATGCCAGTTGTTTCTAGAGATGGCACGTAGTTGGCCACTGTCTGTTCCATCAGCCATTTCAGACCTCGCTAATCTCGTACAGCTCTGTTTCTTGCTAAGATTGGACAGCTTCAGAATGCTCCTCTGAGCACTCCATGGAGTCCGTACCAGTCTGGAGATGAAACCTGTCATCCCTAGTCTATAACAACTCTTCTGATATTTACATGTACCCTGCAAGGAAAGGCATAGAATCATGCCTGCTCATGGCTATTCTCATTCACATAGGTAGTCACCACTGGGAACACATTTAATTAGAATGGCTGCGACTAGGGCGCCTGGGTGGCTCAGTTGGTTAAGCGACTGCCTTCGGCTCAGGTCATGATCCTGGAGTCCCAGGATCAAGTCCCGCATCGGGCTCCCTGCTCGGCAGGGAGTCTGCTTCTCCCTCTGACCCTCCCCCTCTCATGCTCTCTCTCTCTCTCTCATTCTCTCTCTCAAATAAATAAATAAAATCTTAAAAAAGAAAAAAAGAATGGCTGCGACTAGAAGCCTTTTTGAAGGGCCCGTGGGTGCAACAGAAAACCGTATTGACTCTCTAGACTTTAAAAAAGAGAGAGAGAAAAAAAGTCTAGTATAGCACCAATTGTAGAGAATGTTGAGTCATTAGCAACTTGTATTGTTTGCCAATGGGACATAATCAAGTGCAACCACTTTGGAAAATGATTTGGCATAATAGGTGGAACAACCCTCCAGTGCTCCATCCCAGAGTATACAGCCAAGAGAGAGCTTGGACACGTGCATCAGACACATGTAAAAGATGTTTGAAGTAGCAAAAGACTGTTGACAGGAGATTGGAGAAATTCATTGTGATAGAGTCACACAGTGGGACGCTACATGGCATTGAAAACAAATGAACTACAACAACAAATAGTGGTCAGAAGCGAAACCAAATAAAATATTATTTAAGCACATACACGTTTGTTAAAAACAACAACAACAACAACAACACACACACACACTTTCTTTTAAGCAAATGGAATGATAGTGGTCACCTCTGGATGAAGACAAGGAAATAGAACAGGGAAGAATACAGAGCTAGAAGCAAGTAATCAGCAATGTTTTAGCTCTTGGGTTGTAAGGTGCA